ATGGACTTTGAAAATATTTGAGGTATTACAAAAACTTTAACGCAAATTCTTAGTCGAAAAGGGGACATTATTCTGTAAAAATGCTTGATACAGTTACCTCCTCCAGTCTACACGTTGGGGTCTTTATGGTGAACAAGTGTGCAAAGTTTCAAAGCCATATATCAATCGACTTTGAAAATAATTGAGGTATTACAAAAACTTGAACATAAGTGGTTACGCCGACGCCGACACCGACACCGACGCTCGGGTAACTACAATAGCTCTACTTATTCTTAACGAATAGTCGAGCTAATAAAGGGACGCAATACAATTATCATATCAATCCTACTATTGAAGAGTTATTCATGAATCTTTGATTGTAAATGAGACATAATCATATACGTATTTAAACCATGCGTTACGCTTTAAAGGCAGATGAAAGTATTTCTAACGCTGTGATAGTTTACACGATACGCTGTCCTTATATAGCGGTAATATCAATCTTTTAGAAAGAGTGCAGGGATTTGCTGTTCAGGATTTATTCCTATGTACTTTTTCCATATTGCCATCTATTGATTTTGCAATATCGCAGCTATATAGGGGCAGACCTAGCGTCGATTAGTTATTACATGGCAGAAAAAAATTGTAATGATTTATTGTCAAACATAAAATATATGGCAACTTTTGTGAGTTTGTAAATAATTCATCTATAGTTGTATGAATAGATAAACCACTGTTACTTGCGTTTCAACGAGCTAATAAGTGTACGGCACTAAAGTGTTTTTTGTTTTGAAGAACAGTATTTTGAATGGTGTTGATTACCTTTTTAAAATAAAAGAATATGTATGTACCCGTAATAAAAGCATATGCAAGTACAACATATTGCATCCTTGTTGCCCTAAAATTAGATAGTTTGATAATCATAAGTTCCAATGCTATATATATTCACGCTCCGGTTTAAAAAAAAAGCTGCAGGCCTGTTAGCCAATGACAATTCAACAACTCATAGCTTAATGCAATACAATATTTAATGATCTATTTATATATTTTGGTTATGAATGAATTAAGAAAGTAGTAATATAAAGACGAATATCAGGGTTCTCTTTAGGCTTTTAAAAAACATTAAACGAGGTAATGCACAAGGTTGATTATCAACTCTATCGATTTTTTAAATATATTGTATGTGATAAAAACTTGATAAAACGTGTTGTACTTGCTGTCCGACACATGCATTTTTAAAATAAAATAAATAAAAAGATTTGTCAAATATACTTCGCATATCTTTTTATTAATTTTATCTATCGATTTTTGGCAAATTGAACGATTTGATGACAAAAGGATACATAAATAATTATCTATTTCACCACATCACTATCTTCTACAAAATATAACCCCCAAACAGTAATCTGGACCGAGTTGCCACTGAATATTTTCATATGTCTATAGATATACTTGAATGTAAATCAACGTCGTTAACATTGCGTAGATTATAATAAGAACATATAATTATTATAATGTCCCAATACGGAAGAGTTCAACAAACTTCAGTAGGATTTGAACACACGGCATAGTAGTAGAGATATGCGTTTCAGCATCAGTGACATTGCCAACGTCATTATAAAATTCCCTACGTGTGTAAATGAACGCATCTACGTGTGTTAAAGATAAAAAACATGTTTTTAAAAATAGAATTTTATTTTGTACATAATTCAACATATATATACATTTGTTTTTACTGTAATTTTGCAAAACCTTTTAATCGTACATTTGCTCAAAGCATCCATCTAGGGAGAAGAATATGCTTCGCATGAAACTTTTAACTACGCTTTGTGTAAGGTAGCAAAGGGAAACCACTGCGTACGCATTTGGTTACGTTTCATACTTTAGTTACTTCCCTTATATTTGAAAATAAATAAAGAATTTTAGCTTTTTTAATTATAAATGCATTTAGTAGACTAGATATACTTCTATACTGTATATACAGAACACGAGAACATAGAAATATTCATATTCAGCAAAAAATGTTTGACATGAAATGTTATTGTTAACCTAATGCATTTATGTTTATTTCTCTTAATTTCGGTGCACTTTCTTAGTATACAAAACGTTAGTCATTAGCCAATTAGGGTCTACCTCACTCTTATTAAAATTAGCTCTAAATAACGCTCCGCTTTTACATCTTATCATTATCAAATACGAAGTCATGTCTGGTGACCTTTCACACATCCAATCATCGGCGAGTTTTCATAATTTTGAAGCGATGTTGTTTCAAATATTAAACCTGGGAAACCCAATGACGTGAAGGAAAGTTTCACGATTTCGAGAACAAACATTGTGTTGTCCATATAGACGGCCGGTAAACTGGCAAAAGAATTTTGTCCCTTAAAAATTAACTTTTTCAAGAAAACTTGTTAAAAAATACTTCAAACATTTCCTTTCTAACAGAAATCAACAATTTATCCAAGGATAACGGAATTTTTATATTTCTTCTAATGCCTATGTAAACGCCGATTTGATTGCATGGCTAAAAATAGATTTCTCGCGAAATCCGAATTATAATGAAGGCAAATTATATACGGTCGTCAATAGATCTATATAAAAGAAATAAGTACATCTGAACTTTAGTAAGATTGCCAATTACCTAAACTATCTGTTTTCACCTGTTGGGTTTTTTTGGGGCAATTTATTTATTTCTGAGGCATAATGTGCCTTTAACCTACTTGAACTGGAAGTGATTGACCTTTGCCACCTGAATATTTAGATATTCAGGCTCTATAATGTACAAAGTTATGATGAGGAAGATTTTTTTCAACATTGTGAAATCTATAGCCCCTTGGGTCTGAGTTCAGGTTCCCAGGGTGGGGGTGTGAGTTACATGGGTGTATATTGTAAATATACTTTAAGAAAATGTGTTCTTTTATTTCTACATTGTGGTAAGGCAGTAAAGCCGTTTGCATAAATATATCCCAACAAACGAAGTTTAGGGAGTATATAGAAGTGAGCCTGTGGGTTGGTTCGCCTGTCCATTTCTGCGAATGTCGGTCTCCTTCATTGTTTTCGGACGAAAGCTATAGTAATGAATGCTATATTGTTATCATTAATGTCATTTTAGATCACAATATGACTTAGGAAATATGACTTAAATTTGACTGTTAGAACCTTGTTGCTTATTTTCGAAACATATAAATAACCGATACCGGCCAATTCATACACGCTTATTTTTCAAGTTGTAAATATAGTATGGCCATGCCAATGATTAATCTAGTCCTGCAAAAGATAATTATTAACAAATCCTAAATGTTCTCTCAAGGTGATTTTCTGTTTATATATTCTTAAATGTCTAAAGAACACCTCATTCAGAGCCGTTTTTCTAAATTCTACAACTGTAAACGTTTGCAGTTGTAGAATTCACAGACCAAAATCGGCTCTGAATGAAGTTTTAAGTAGACCTATTTTTTTTTATTTCTTTTTCTTTTTGCTTATACAATTTACATAACATAAGATAATCTGAGCTTATTTTATTATGACTTACATCCGGGTTATTTTTAAGAAAAATAAGTTTTGTTCTACTTTTATGTATTTAAATATTTGTTTCTTTTACATATTTCTGTGTGTGGACTGAGACTTATACGTGAATGATCTCACGCAAATCATGAACAGAATTAACGGCGAACTTTTATGAACATAACTTTTTTACATTCACATTAGAACAACAATTCTGGAACATAGAAAAAAAAACACAATGGCATTATCACCTTACCGTAAAGAGCTAGTAAATCGCGCTTTGTTTCAATTACTCACGATATATCTTTCAATATTACTTACGTCAATTCAACCGGTAACTTATTTCCAAGATCTATAAGGTCCACAGTAACCGTAACGTTGTTATACCTCGGGAAAACATATATCCCCTGTACCAAAGGGCGTTTGGGATGCACATACTGACACTTTTAAGAAACAAGTCCCTATTCATCTAAATGGGGCTCTTAGTTCATAATCGTTTATTGATTTCTATATTAGGACGGTTTAAATTTTTTTGGCTCCCGTATTTGGAATTTTGATCGGAAACAATTATGTCGATTAGTGCTCTTGTGCAGCTTCTAATCCGCAACAGAATCACACAAATGATGTTTCAACGGTTGGTACCAGCAAATAGTGTTTTTTTTTTTACGAAAATTAGATCATTTTATATCGGGAAAGAACAAATCGCCGGTCCAAACAACAACCAAGCAATGCGGAAATCTCAACGGGCTAGAATTCTGTGTATTACACTGTTGTAAAGCAGAACCTCCAAACTAACAGAATATCTTATCCACAAGTCTAACAATTGGCTGCAAAATATGTTTCCCCCATCCCCTATAGAAAAGTTCGTAGCGTTCATTTTAGCATGAGTCATTGTTCATTACGTGAATTCTAATATTTACTATCTACAACGATCGTATCTATGTCACACAACAGCTTGCTGTCGTTGGTAGCACAACGAGCAACATTTTTCATGAAAAGGAAAACTCCATGAACTCTGATGCATTTGACTGATACACTAACGGCATGAGAATACACATTTGCAGACGACAAAATTGTGTTATATATATTCGCAAGTTCAAGCAATTGAAAGTGTTGTCGAACTGGCTTTTCGGGTCAATGCTTCAAACGAGTCATCGTTATATTTTGTATCATTATAGCATTATCATCATAAAAACACAGTTGCATCGTGACGTCGTTAAAGTCAACATTTATACATTTAAACATTAAATTTTAAAGTCTTGGTTTTAACTGAACTACTTTTAGCAGTAAAGCTAATTAAAAAAGATGATACTGTTGTTGTGATGATGATGATGATGATGATGTTGTTGTTGTTGATGATGATGAAGATGATGACGACGTTGACGACGACGAAGATGATGATGATGATGATAATAATAATGATGATGATGATGATGATGATGATGAAACTTATGATACTGGCAGTATTTGATCAAATGAATAAACTTAAAGAAAAGCATGATATCGGAAAGCAAACTTTAATAGTAATCATTTGGCGTAGTACAAGTATCGTTCGACACAAACGCCTCTATATTTCTATATATATTTGGAAATGTATTTACATTATTAAGTTTGGCACATAGTGCACAGCTAGAATACTGCATGGTGTCCCATTGATTAAACCCAAGTGTGAACCTCTCTTTATTGAGCAGGTACCGAGTGTAAGCATTTTCATTGCCGCCAAGCTCTTTCAAGAAAATCGCTAACTGCTTTACAGAACCAAAGTCCGAAGTGTCGATGAACGTTGACTTATCAAAAAAGTTGGAATAGTTAAGCCCTCCTCTCACAATAAGAATAACATCTAGATTGAAGTAAGTGAAAAACTTTTCGGTGACGTAATCTTCGCAAAAGCTGTTCTCAAATGCAAGGTAAAATTTATACTCATGACTTATCCTATTTATGATATAGTCGGCTTTTTCCCGCTGTCCCGTGTTTGAGCATCTTCCAAAAATATCGACCTGCACACCTTCCCGTATTAGACTAGAGACAAACTTTTCACGAAGGCTTTGTGTCTCACAATGACTCACAATCCAAGCCGCCATTTTGGTTTTCTTCTGAAATATTGCACTATAGCTTATATTTGAAAACCCGGTGTTCCTTATAAATGTTCCTATTGGTCTAAAAATATCTGAATCAAGACGATAGCTCCAGGACCAGTTAAAAGCATACCTAAAACTTTCCTGCCGGAACCAGTTCGTTGTAATTCGCGACGGTGGCTCCATCTGGAAGAAAATCCACACTTGAGTTCCAGGACGGAGTTTAAACACTGATAAAGACGAACTAGGTAGCTGGTTTTTCGTGTTAAATACGAGTGCATCAGGGTGACTTGTGTTATGTTTATATTTTGTCATTTTGCAGTTCTTATATTTACACCGGCGACCGAGAAAATGGTTGAGACTTTGCAAACTCAGCCAATTTGGCTTATTCATCCATGATATGGTAAATGTTTTCTCCGATTTACTTTTTTCTTGAATCAAGAATATCGACGTGTCTACAAATCTGTTATCGCGTATAACTGTGGATACAGATAATAAATGCTGAAGCATGGACTTTGCGTGTTCTTGATCCTGGTCGCTGGATGCTGGACCAGAATATCCATGTTTTCCAGCGTAAGCGTTGGAATAGCTGTAATGCGTTAGAAATTCAAAACAATATGGTTGTCAAGAGATAAACTACCACAACAATGCCGATCAAAACAAAATTATTTCGTTTCATGATAAACCTGAAATTAAAGAAAAAGAAACAAAACAAATCATAGATTATTCGATTAAACAAAACCTAACGTAAACCACATGGAAACCAACCGAACTCAGATAAACTATGCTATAAATACTAAATACTTGTACATGCATTTTGGGGTTTTACGTCGCACCACTATGGTAAAGGTCATACAACGACTTTCCAGCTTAACTGGTGGGAAGAAGACTTCAGGTGCGCCTCTGTCCATTACCTCTGTACCTTAGCAGAACCGCTGACGTTCCGTAAGCTAGCTGTATAGTTTTCTTACATGCTAGAATTCAATGACGCTGGCGCGGCTCGAGCCTTCAACGGTGAAAGTCAAGTGGTTTGAAGTCAATGACCCCTTTGTACATATCTATAGAATCATTGTACATATAGAAGTACACTAGAAATACAGAAATGCATCTTAAACAGTAATAAAATCAATGTTTTTGTTGAATATGCGATTCCATATGATACTTACAATACAATAAAATATACATGTATAATTATGCTGACTTAAAAGAAATATACTTCTTACCTTGATATCATCATAACTGTGACGTCATTCTTCTTCAAGTGCGTTTCATTTTGTAATACACATAATTATGTACACGTATGGTTTAATGTTTAAGCTGATACAAATTAAGTTTCTTCACCTTAAAATATAGCAGATACCATAGCAGCAGTTCTTTTGATATAGTTTTCAAAGTTGCATGTCAAATGTTTCATCAATTTGAGAACTGTTTTATTTCTATTATTCTTCAAAGAATCCGCACCATTTTACTTTCATAAAATAATCATTTTTTAAAATTTCCAGAAAAGTCCGCATATATAATATTTACAAATATTTCTCTTTGATGATTCGCAATTTATCAGATCTTTGACGAAGTGATAATTTTTACCGTTTGTAAAATAAGTCAATTAATCAATTTATAAATTTAAAACACATATGTAATTGAGTAAGATTTGAATCTTTATCCTTCAACATTTTTTTTTTCGCAAACGACTTTTCAAGCTAAATATTGCTAGTTTAAACACATTTCTCAGTCAAGATGTCAACAAAACCGACTCCGGAATGGCTGGATCTGAACATGTCCGAAGTTTGACGGAAACAGTCGAAATAGTCAAATATAGACGAAAGCTATAATGGCAACACGGTCCACGGTAAAATGTTTTACTTTGACTGCAAAATATGTTCTTTTCAGTAAGAATATATTGAATTTAACTCAATATTCACTTTATGAAATGGGGGATTACGGAGTGAAAGGAATAATACCCGGTATTCCATACATCGTTTTCAATAAATCATCGCGGGGATTATATGTACATGTGTATGCAAACTATAAACATTTCGTAACTTTACTTTCATGTGATGTTGGATTTAACGTATAAATAGAGTGGCTTAATATACATAATTTATAATGAGAGTTTAATAATACAAGGTATGATAGCTAAATTTTGACTTGCACACTGTTTCAGGTGACTAGACGAATAGACAAAAGAAAGAAAAAGCAAAAA